CGCCAGCGCGGGCCGGCGCGGCGGGAAGAGATGCGCTCGCTGGCCAGGCGCCGTTCCCGCAGGGCGAGCACGGAGCTTTAGGGTGAAAACTACGGACGCGGGGTTTGAGCTCTTCGTTGCCTCACGCGTGTGGTATGTCCTCCAGAAAGGCTACGCGTCTAGATCGCTGCCCTTTCACGTGCCTCCTCTGATGCCTCTCAACCAAGCCCTTAAACACTTGTCTGGACTCCAGAGCTGTTTTTCTCTGGGTTCAGACTGGCCTCTGGATGTTGCATACATGTCGCTGGGACGCCGTGGTTTAAATCGGTAAAGAAACAGAGAACAGAGGCAGACATCTACGCAGTGCTACGAACCTGTCTTCCACCTGTGGTGCAAGCCCTAAGTTGGCGTGTGTGCGCAGCTCTGCTATAGCCAATACAGGCATCGCTATTCCCCCCCCTCGCCCCCGATGCTTATGTCCTATATATTTCCCGTTTTAAAAAGCAGGTTGAACACTAGCATTCTTGCCCTGCTGGGCGAAGCGCCGTACCAAGCACTGCGCCAGCCAGCCTATGCAAGGACCTAAGTCATCTGCTTAAAGAGTTCGCAAGCAAGGCAGGTTACGGGTACTTTTTGAGAGTGGCTACTACAGTGTCAGTGCTGTCTGCCTCTCAACGCAGTCATCATTTACTAGGCAAGGTACTCCAGGAGCTGTAAAGCGGGTGGGTTTGAAAGGAAAATAGGCGAAATGGGCATCTTCGCCTGAGCTACGTGTACACGTGATACAATACAAGAAGGAGCAGATTTAGGTGAATAAGAAAGTCTATGTCTATGTCAGTTTTAGAGTCAAACAAGAGGGAAGGTAAACTTCAGGCAGGGAAAACAGCGTCCTGAATAGCTGTTCTGGAAATCACTTCTGTTTGCTGAGATTTGTTATAATTTGCTGTAATCCCAGCCTTCTGGTTAAGTTTTACGTGACCTAGCATTTCAGAGTTTCTCTGAGCTCTAATATACTGCTGTCAGGTGATCAGAAGGGCAAATACTACTTTCTCTTCCCTAAAACCTGCTAATTCCTTTGGCCACCAGTTTCCAACCCGCTTCTCGCTCCACAGTGTTTGTATAACCATCAGCAGCTAGGCCAAGGCAACAACGAGCTTCCTAAGAAGCATTTTCATAAAGGAGCTGCATCTAGATGTCACTTAGGCGTTCACATGCTGTGTCTGTATTTGCAAACACAGAGCCAGCAGCTCTTGCAAGAGAGCAATGCCTTACCTCTTATACTGCAATTTACTTTATCCTCATTCTGACTGGCTATACCAAGTTTGATTTTTTTTTTTTATTTCATGACTTAATTTTGTTATGCACACAACGTACCTTTTTTCTGCATAAAGGTACACTTGGCATGTTTTTAATGACAACTCCACCATTCAGGAAGTTACACCGAGCTGCTGCACAGATTATTTTGTTCATAAACCAACTCCAATTTCACTGCCAGGTAATGTGAACCTTCCATTGTTGAGGAAGAACCTTCTTTGTTTATGAAGTATTTTACTCAAAGCACCACTAACAATGCCAGAAATCAGTAAGTCTTGAGCATACGCACGCATTTGTAAAAATCTCACATGCTAAGGAAAGTGCTACTCAGGCAGAGGCAAAACTAGGCGACAGGATACACAGTGAACGCCAGACCAGACAGACCAGAGAGGCACAGTTCTTACAGCCAGTTCCTTTGCAGAGAAAGGTTACTGTGACAGCACAGCCTGGACCAAGAATAAAGAAATATGGCTTGGTCCTCCAACACTTCCCTATTGCTAAACATACTTCTAACTGTCTTTCTCCATAAACGAAATATTGCATGAAAAAATGGACTCCAAAACTCACGTATCCTTCCCCAGAATCTGTCAGTGAAAACGATCGTCCAGCATAAAAAACATAAGTCATACAGAGTGATGCAGGCTCAGAATGGATCCAAATAGTTAACGATGCATGCTCTCTAGTGTCTCCTCTTTCAGTATGTTTTAACTATGAAATCTTCCTTTGCAAGTCTTTTTCCAGCAAAGGTTTCAGAAGAAATCACAGTTTCACTTAATTCAAGAGCAAGACTTGCATCTATTTGGCTGGTCCCTAAAGTGAGACTGGCTGTCTTGCAAATAAACAGTAGTATTGTGCAAATAAAATAAAAAGAACCACAGCGCACTGCTGTAAAAGTCAATAAATACTTAAAACTCCCTTTTTTCTACAATACAGCACTGCTTCTCAGGTATTCCCTTCCAAGTATCACCCCCTTCTGCCTTGCCCTTACAGCAAGCAGCAGCCCTTGCAACAGCCTTGCGGCCAGGACTCTTCCCCAGGAGGTCTGCCTGCTCTCCCCAGCTTTTGCCATCTGTGGTCTCTCGACAGCGTCAGGCAGAAGTTCAGGTTGTTTCCCTCGGTGCTCATAACCCACGTGCAGGTCAATGCGCGGGGGGATGTAGTTGAGTCTAGTTGAAGAAGTATATGCCTTGTTACAAACATCTCTGCTAAACTTTGCCTAACAAATACAGAAAGAGCACATGACCAGATGCTACCCTTCAGCCTTTCTGTCATCAGCAAGATGGAGACAACACTTCAATACCTGCCTAAAGAGCAGATCTTTACGTTTTGCCCGTGAGAGGGGAAGTAGCCTCTATTCCTCCTACATCTTTTGTTCCTTCCCTAACCTGAACTGTAAAGGGGAAAAGAATCCTCCTAGAAAACCTCCAAAGAGAAAACATTTGTTCATGGGCTTAATGGGCAAAAATAATAAGAAGAATAGCAAAGGAGGAAAGGTGAAGGGCTCAAAAAGTTTGAATGAATACAGGCAAAGTGGGTGCAAGAAGATGAGTCACTGCATTTAGGCAACAAGGAAGAGAGCAAGTGACTGAACAACTGGTGACAGTGGGGTGACAGCATGAGCAATCTTGTGGGTAGGGCCAAAGGCAGGGAGAGAATTAGAAATAAGGACCAGACTCCAGCGTGATCAGCCTGCAGCCCAGCTCTAATTTCATTTGCTTTTTGTCCCAGAGCCATGTGCTCATGCTGCTGCCACACGCTTTTTCACCTGTGGCGCGCTCAGGAATGCAACAGCAACCAAAACGGTAAGCAGTCAGGCTATATTACAGCAAATTGTTTCAAACCAGTCAAACCTAGAAGAAAGAAGAAAGCAGTTCCCAGAGGAACTGCGGGGTGCCAGGCGTTAGAGAGTAAGTTGAGTGCGGGAGCACGGTTGTCCCGTGTCTCAGTTGGAGCCCCTCGAATCCACAGGAGCCCAGAGTACTTCTGGAGCCACTGCTGGTTAGACTGGTTGGATGGGAATTTTACAAGCTGACAGCCTGTTACTCAGGTTCCTCTGGGCTCATTAACATATGTTAACTGGAACGCAACATCAGCTTTCTGAATGTTTTGACCCTCTGCGGTTTCATGACATGTGGCAGAAACTTTCATGTTCTCTACGTACAATGGCATTAGCATGCCAGCAACCAACTTTTCTGATAGGCAAATATTATCACGTACCTTACATAAAAGTTCAGGATCTTAATCTATGAGGCCTTAGAGCTTTTTGTTGCCGTATCTTGCCTTTGCCTTCTCCCTGAATTCTCACATGAATTTAGTAGCGAAAAGCTGCCAACAAACAGAACAAACCTAAACGATTTGGCTCAACGCTTTCCACAGCACAGGAAAGCACGTAACAAGCAAAAGATTTGCCCAGGTGCCCAAGGATAAGATGCATTATCTGATTAACCACTGCCCCTGCTCCCCTGCGCTCCAGTTATCCAGAGCAAGCAGATTTGCGCTGCCTGTGTAATACGGAGCTACCTCCCTGCTGCGTATCTCGACGTAGGTACAGAAGAGGGAGCTGTCTATATAAAACTGAGGTCCCTATGTTAAAAGAGTTACATAAGCCCTGTATTAAGAGAGTTACATAAGCCCTGCACAAAATACTGATATAAAGAAAGTCAGCCAGGGGCTGCTGTTGTCTCTGCTGACCAACAAGAAGCTGCTTTTAGTGGAGAGAAGCAGAGCGGCTCTGCTTCATTTCTGGTATATCAGAGGCAAACTGAACAAACCGGTCACTAGTTACCTCAGAGGCTGAGGGACAGAAGCTGTCTGGCTCCACATACATGCTGAAAAGAATTATACAGCTTTGTACTTAACAGGGGAGCCTTATTGCTGGCAGTCTCGGATGCTGTTTGCAGCTTTGGGTTTTTTAACTGATTCCTATTTATCCATAGACTGTGAGAGACAAGTGAAAAACATTGTCAATATCCCCTGCTCAGCACAGACAGCAAGGTCCAATGATGTCACCAGCAGCATTGTATCCCTCTGATAATAGTAATTATGAACAGTATCATAACAAGCTTTATTGGATCAATTTATAACCTTCTGGTGTTTCTAGATTATTATAAGGAGGATAACCCCAAACTAGGGGAAAAGAAAAAAAAAACAGAATAGTTATGTAACAGTCTCAGATAGATCACACTGAATGTTCGCTCTCAGAAGCATAATGCAAGCTATTAATACCCGTGCGGTCTCCCGACAAAACCAAAAACCGAGAACTGCCTCCTGCGCTGCCTCGACACCACGCGTGGGAGCAGCGCATTCGAGCTCGCTTGCTTGGGATAAGCCTGGAGCCGAAATTCCAGGTCAGGAGCTTGTTATTACATAACCTAGCACACCGTCAGACAAATCCTCCTCCCGCTCTACTCATCAGAGCCAGATCCTGAAAAAAAGAAAAGTCCCAGTGAAACACAGGAACGTGGAAGTCAGCTGAGGGGCTTTTTCCCCCCTCTAAATGAATGCAGTATGAGCTTTAATACTGTATTTCTGGGTTTAACATAGGTCGAAAGACCTATGCTTTGCCAAGGCGTCCTGAATAGGGCATAAATATCTGTATTTTAGTAATTAAAATCCACTGACAGCACTGAGATGTTCTTTTGTGTTTAGGTAACATGTCACATAATCTGTTTACATTTGCTAGTCTGGCATAAAAACATCATAGCCCATGGTATTTGTGGTTGAGAATTATTTGCTTAGTGCTTGCACACTTGAACTTCATGAAGTAGGTCACTTGTGCGCCAGACAAAAAAACCCACAAAACAGCAAAACAAACTGGCCTCAGTACTTCCAAATTAAGCACCAAAGTCTGAGGCACATCATCGAATGACCACTGTGAAGGACCTGGCTGCTGAAACATTTTCCACAGGCAGTTGTCACCTTCTGTTTGGTCAAAGTGGCTAAATACCTCACAATTGCACAGTTATTCTTGATTTTTCCTCCCTCCCCTAATCCCTGGGATGCCATTTCTCTTTCCCAAAAATACAGTTCATACGCGGTGGGTGTTTGGCAAGCTGCTGCTGTTTTCACGTAAGATGTGAAATTAATTCTTGAACTTGCTTGTTGCGGCTGTCTGAACATGCCATGAATGTGCAACACACCCTTCCTGTGTAATTCTACATGCGCTGTATGTTACATTATCCTTGCAGATCCCTTATTTTAATAAAAACATCTGTGTGGAGGACGATAATTCAGCAGCCTTTAACTCCTCACTGTTTTTATTGTGCTGCTATATGGTTTTTATCTCAATTTCAGTAAAGGACATCAACATTAATTCAGAGCATTTCCAGGAAAGTAACAGCTGCTTGCAAAGTCCAACTCAATCGATTTGATGTAGCCGTAACGTGGCTCAGGCGGCAGTACTGGGTTTAAAAGCTTACGGCCCACTCGTGTCCCCACCTCCTCGCGTGCGGAAGAAGGCCTCGGCACGTCCCCCAGCCTGTCGGCAAAGGCAGCTCTTGCAAGGACCGTGGGGGCAGGCAACAAGGTGGGGACAGGCTTCGCCCAGCTCATGCCAGGGGTAGGGGCTGCAGGCTTTCCAGCTCCGGCGGCTCAGGCTGAGGGGGGCCACTGCTGGCTCATTTAAAGGGGACTTGCGGCACAGCCCTGCCAACACGGTACTTCCTGGCAGAGAGAGAAGAAGAGCTGGCACAGTCCTAGAAAAGCCCCATAAAACGCAGCACGGATGGAATGAGCTATTTCCAGTTGAATTCAGGATAAGGACTCACAGAAAGAAGTTTACTGTTTAGGTGTCTTTTATAGGACCAAAGAGCAAACAACTCTCCATTCAGTTTTATAACACATTTTTAAAATGCCCTTTGTAAAACATAACAGTTCTTCAGGTCATTGCGCAGTTGGGCTTCCCAAGCGGTAGCGTCCACGTAGCTTCCAAGCGATACAAATGCCAGTGCAGGTTCAGGAGTACCGGTCCCAAACAGGACGAGTTTGGGAAGCCTTGTTTCCTACGACTGCCCGCAGCCTAAAGCGGGCAGGTCAGGATGGACGAGGTGGAGACCTCAGATCTCCCACCACTCGGTTTTGCAAAACTACCCTGACAGGAAAACCTTTGCCAGGCAAATTCATTGAGCCCCAAAACACTTCCCACTGGTTTTACTGGAGGTGGAGACAGTTTGTTAACGTGCGTGGTCTGAACCAGTGTTAAACCGTAAGCGCCTGAAGCTAGCCCCTAGCTGTCATGAACTGCAAGAGAGAATCACTTCAGCACGACCTCAGGGGGACTATGTTTGCACCTATACCTTATTATTCAGCAACATTGTCTCCAATTTCCAGGCCAGAATAGCACTCCCACATAAAGTATTTGCTGTTTACTTGCTTTCTGGTGCATGGAGCGCAGCTTGGACTTTTCTGGGCTTTCTTTCACTTGATATTTTTCCCTCCTTTTTATACTGCTTTCGAGAAGTTATACATCAATTCGTTTAATTGAACTCCAGTGTATCTATTTATTACCCATCCTATTACCATTCAGTTCATAAGAAAAGTTCATCTAAGGTATAAGTAGACACACCACCATTGATTTTAAACAGTTTATGAAATATCGCTCTGTTTTGCCAGCAATACCATCTTACTGTCTTATCTCAAGGGACAGGCAGAGCATTACAGCATGCTCAGTGTATATTTTATAAATCGAGAGCAGTCAGCAGGATGTAATTAAGCCAAATATTACAGTCGTGATCCAGGGCTGTAAAGCCCTGGTCTGCTGCCATTTTATGGTGGTAGTGTTCAGATGTAAGTACATTTTGTGCTTCACAAAGGTGCTCCCACATATTCACTTGTGTGAATTTTCTGGGAGTTATCTTCAAGCGGTATAGTCATAAAACTACACCAGCAATTATTAACCAGTTATGCCTTTGGTGTCCTGGTCATCTTCCTCAAAACCCTAATGGAACCACATTAGATGAGCCCCTCAGCTACTTACTAGGGGGATACAGGCTAAGGGAAGCGTCTTGCTCCTCACCTAAGAAGAGCCATGAAAACACGAGCTACACAAAGACAGAGACACAAGACCTCTTCTTCTTCTTCCCCCCCCCTTTTTTTTTAAAGTGTTCAGGACTGTAGTTGAAAGCCCCTCAGCAAATCTTGACTAATGGTTTTTGGACTGTATGCCACG